GGGGAAGCAGCTGTTGTGGGGCATGCTTCACATTTGAGGGGGCGGAGCCCCCAAATGCCCCACTGTCGCTATGGGCCTGCTGTGCCCCCAACACCACACAGGCTGTAGCAAGTAACCACCACTTCCTCATTTTGCTTTTAGTTTCAGCCTGCCATAACTGCCAGGAATTTACAACCGAATTCTTTTCTTCCCTTGGTCTTAGTGGCTTTCTGACCTACAAGGACCCTTGAATGTTTACAGGGTTATTTATAATTAAGTGTGAAGCAGTTTCTGCCTATCCCCCCCCCCTTAGACACACACAATCGATGAGAAGAACTAGATTTGCCAGCTGAGAATGCTTGGCCCCCTTTTTCACCTTTGTACAAATTAACAGTCTTCCTCCCAGCAACTCCTTCTAGTCCAAGGATACCTGTTGCTAGGCTCGATATTCCTCCATCATAATGGTGTTTCCACTGTGAGAGGCTATAAGGTCTTTGATCTGTGAATGGAGATGCAGCTCCAACAGTGACACATTTCTGCAGTTTGTTTTGAAAGCTAAACCTTAGCCTCTGAAAAGTGCCTCTCCTAGCTGCCTGAGTCATGATTCACCGAAGGATAACCCTACATGAAAAGAAATAGGCCAGCTTTGATGCAAGCCATTGTGTATACACACATGCCGTATACATGTATTGGGTAGTTATCTATAGTATAATGCACACGTAACAGCGAAGCCTTTGATAACCATTTAGCAGAGCTGGTGTTATGGCATGGAATGTTAACAAATAGTCAAACTTCTCAGGCGACAAACCAGTCAGAATGTTTCTGAAACAGTTGCTAGCAGGAAAAAGAAAATCGGCTGGGACTAAAACCTCACATATAACCTGTCCCAAAGGAGGGGTGGGGTTTTTCTTGGAAAAGGCAGGATAAGGACCCAGAGGTGGTCCCAAGAAACAGAGAATTCCATAGATTACTGAGGCTAAAAGAAAAATGCAGAATGGCAACAAGGGCCAAAAAACAGAAGGATGTGGGTGCTGGATTTCACATCTTGATCCGAAGCAACCTGCCAGTTCTTTGGCTGTAGGAGTCTCTTTGTTCTCAGATGCATCGGAGTCCTTCAGCAGTCCCTGAGGAAGATGCTAGACTTACAGAGAATCATTATACAACACAAAAAAAGTGCTATTTATTTATTTATTTATTCGATTTGATATACCGCCCTAACCCCCTTGGGGGCCTCTGGGCGGTTTACATGGGGAGGTGCTAATCACGTTATACCCTAACTTAGGCCACATTGTTCTGAGGGGGTGGGACAGCCTACCGGCACCCAGGTGGAGGCTGATGTCCTTCGGTCGGGCTGGCTTCATTCCCGGCAGTCTGCTAGCTAGATGTTTCTTCTGGCGCTTTGGCGATCCGGCACGCAATCAACGTCCTCCTCTGGTCCCGGCTGTGTCCCTCAGGCTCCGCCGCGCCCATGGATGACGTCACCGCGCACTTCCGCTGCACTACAGCTGCCCGCTGTTCCTTACAGCCCCTGATCACTACTTCGGTCCTGCTGCTGCCGCTTGCTGCCGCCGCGTCACCACGCCACATCGCCTCCACCGCTAGTACTCCGCCATTGTCATTACCGACGTCGTCGCCTCCACCGCCACCGTCGCCTTTCCTCCACATTACATCTGACAAGTCTGCCCCCCCCCATTCCAAAATATAAGAGAACATTTACTGTAGCATGTTGTAATGTTTAGGCCATCAACAATTCTTGAGGGTTCCCTTTAAACAATCAATCAAGTCCTTGTGGTGCAGGGGTGATAAAGACTGTATCCCATGTGTTGCGGTCTTGCAATTATTATAAAGGAGTTAGAGAAGATGTAATGGCTTTATTTTTGGCTATGGTACCAGACCATTCAGCTATTTACCCCTTTTTATTGTTAGGGAGAATATACACATCACTGGAAAAGTGGCCATGTTTCTCAAAGTAACCATTGAGATAAGGTCCTGGATGGTGAAATAACTCTGTTAACCAAATTTTAATAATTGCTATGTTCTGTTCTAACTCTTGTATCTTAAAAGTCTCTTGACTGTATATTGTTGTTGATTCATTCAGGTCAGCCTGACCACCTGTATTTAGACTTTAAAAAAAAATGACTGCATCTGAAGTATCAGAAATATTTTGGGGGATGATCCAGTTAAAATTTTAAGGTCAATGGGATTAGCAACACTCAACAGGATTTTAAAAATGTTAAAAGTTGGGAGAAGGTTCAGAAATTTTAGTTGGTTCAGAATGGGGCAGCCAGTGTTTTGGGGGGGGGATGTAGCAGAGAGACCTTATGAAAGCAGTTTTTTGTCTTCTGCACTGCCTTCCCATTTGTCTCTGGCACTGATTTTGTCCTCAGTGGCTTGGACCCAGAGTATATTCCTCCACATTGGTCATAGGCCAATCCAAGGAAGCAGGCTTTGATGGACATTGGGTCAGCGGGAACCCAGGGGAGGGTCATCTCCGATGCCACTCCCCCCTCTCATTTGTGGAACTCCCTCCCTCAAGGGGTGAAAGCGGACCCCTCTTTGAAGATAGTCCTATCTGGTTTGAAGACTTTCCTTTACAGGAGGAATTTGTTTGAGCTTGAATGATTGATAGTGCTATAGGTTTTTGTTTGCTTTAATTGTGGGTTTGCTGATATATGTTCCTTTCACTTGTTTCTTATATGTATACTATGCTAATTTTTATCTACATTTATGATCTGTGATTTATTTTCTTGTACTGTAAACTCAGGGAAAGACTGAAGGTCAAAGAAGACGGGGACGGCAAAGGATGAGATGGTTAGACAGTGTCATAGATGCAACGAACATGAAATTGAGCAAACTTCAGAGGACGGCGGAAGACAGGAAGGGCTGGTGGGAGCTGGTCCATGGGGTCGCAAAGAGTTGGATTCGACTGTGCGACTGAACAACAACAACTGTAAACTGCTTTGTGGTGCCTGTTGGTCAAAATCAATCTAGAAAGAAACAAAGTGACTAAATAGGAATATAGAATGTAAAGCAATCTCAATATTTATCGATCTTATTTCAATGTATCAGGTAATTCCCCAGTAACAAATCAACAGGGGGGGAGATCAAGTTTCAAATCTCAAAATCCATCTGAAATTTGCCAGCATCCCACTGGCAGTGCACCCTGATGTGACGGGATTATAGGGCATTCAATAATAATAAACCAATAATGTTGGAGGACAAAATTCCAAGAATCTCATTAGCTGATCTGTAAACGAGAAAGGGCATCCACACAAACAGGCAATCCTGAAGGTTAGCGGGGGTCAGTTGCTCTTTGATAGAAGCATTCTCTGCAGTTGGGGCGACCAGTGCCCATACATAGAAGCTGATTAGAATCCCATCGCCACCTGCTGAATCCGACTGCGTGGGATCTGACAGCTAGGAACAGAATTCCTGCCCTGAACTGGCTGGGCCAGATCTCGGATGCTAAGCAGGGTCGGCCCTGGTTAGTATTTGGATGGGAGACCCCCAAGGAATTGCAGGGTCGCTACGCAGAGGCAGGCAAAAGCAAAGCAGCCCTGTTAGTAGTCCCTTGCCTTCAAAACCCTACGGCACTTTCCTCCACCAACTAAATTCCCAACTCTAGTCGACAGCTTCATCCAGCTCCGCCTGCCTGTTTCCAGAAGGATCCGGGGAGGCGAACAGGCATCGGTTCCTGCCAGTAACTTCATCCCTTCCTAGTAACTCAGAGCATCTGCATTCCTTTGTCCTTAGCCTCGTACCTCCCCCCCCGTTCAGAAGCGGCTACGTCGGATCGGTCGCTCGGCTACAACCACGCTCCACTGGTTATGCTTCATCCGGCACCAGCAACCTTCAGTATCACAAACTTTTGGGCGCTTCACCTTCCGGAGGTCTCCTGGCCGCTTTTCCAAATCAGCCTTTCTGTCCTCACCTTCGCCCACCACTCTTGATTTATAAGCCGCTTTTCAGCAAACAAGTTCCAACAGCGACCTACAAAACCACCTCTGGCTCTTCCTACGCCCCTGCCCACGATCAGAGGGACGAATACAGGCCGGGCCCCCCATATACCCTGCCGTCTCCCCCAAACACGGCGCCATCGAGCCTCCAGTGGGACCAAGGGACAGAAGCCGGGACTACGCAGCCGCGCAAGCGAAAAGGCGGGGCGGGGGGTGCAAAGAAGCCCAGTCCTCCTTTATTCAAATGTCGGTGGTCAGCCGGGGGCAGGCAGGGGTCGCTTTCGTGAGCCTTGTTACAAAACGGGCCCCAGGGCGGTGCTCATGAAAGTCCTGCAGGGATAGTACAATTTGCCCTCCAACCCTGACCCTGGGTGGCCCCGGCCCCAGAGGCAGCAATCCCCCCCCGGGGTGGGGTGCAATGGAGCCCTGCAGGAGGAGGGATGGGTGGGTGGGTGGATGTCGAGAGGGGTCACCCGGGGCCAGGAGGCAGGTGGCCAGTTCCACCCTGTTGCTATTTTTCGCGTCACAGGCCAGCGCTTTGGCGACCCCGACGCAGTTCTCGCTCCCCCCCCCC